CTAAATGTCACCGAAACACCCAGGCCAAAGAGACCTTCTTACAGCCATATGCAATTTGTACTATCGTTAGGCAGTTAGACCAGGCTCTTCATTGTCTGTTTGGCTTGGTCTCATTAAGGAGAACAGCAGAGAAGAACAGACTGTTCTGTTCTTCCCACCAGCATTCATAACAAAGAGTGCAAGACCAAAAGAGAGAAGCAAGGCGCCCAAGGTTGTGCTGCTGTACAATGCAGGTCTTGCAGACGACAGAACTCAAGCTCGGTTTATGACACCCCACTGTCTCTTGGTATGGCTATTGCATGCCCCCATCTACACAGCAAAAGGAATAATGGATTCGGAGGGAGTTAACATTTAGATTAGTGACTTCATCCAACTTCCAAGTGGGGAGTGTTTCACAGGAACCCAGAACACCCAACACAATAGGCTACTTGATAAATGTTAGGGGTTTAATCCGACCTACTCACAAAACAAACAGACCCAGAGGAGGCAGGCCCACTCCTCAAAAAGCAGAATCAAACAGAAAACCAAATTCTATTTGCTATAAGTCAACAAAAACCAACGAGAGAAAATTAACCCAACTTGAAGGGAACAGTGGTCAAGGTTCAGCCAAGGCTAATAAACCATTTATTAACAACGTAAGAGAGTTCCTCAGTATTTTCACTGTATGTGGTAATTTGTTAATGGGTAAATATGACTTTCTTTCTGCCTTGGAGATAAATGAGCTCTAGTTCTCAAAAAAACAATATATCTGGCAAGACGTGGAAGACAGAAAAAAAGAAGCGTTTTGTCCACAATAATCTGAAAGGCAAAAGAAATGCTTCTTTCTGGTAGCTGGGTGGAGAGCTTGGCCTTACAACTTTGGAGCAGCTGATGAAGGAACTATTTAGCAGGATCAGGCTGATTAAGAGTGGTCAGATGGCTTCAGGCTGAGTGATCTGTACAAATGACGTTTCTCTTACACGGGCCCCTTATTATTTTGTGTATCTGCACCTTCCCTTATATGGTCACAAATTATATCTCTGCTACCAGTAATAAAACCGTTTTTGAAATATTCAAGAAGACAGGCTGAGAGCCACTGGCAGCTGTGAAGACGAACCAAAGGGAACAGGACCCAGGGAAGCAAGGCACCCAAGGTTGGGGGTTCCTCACTCTGCGGTAGCCGCTGGGAAGCACCTTCGGCCCTCAGGGGCAGAACAGAGCAGCACGCACGAGAGGGGCTGAGCAAAGAAGCTGAAATCAGCTCAGCTCTGGAATTGCTGTTATCACACAGTCAAGGGTGAGAGAAAAGTCACGTGTCTGATGGACCAGCCACGAGTTGAAATTCAGTCACAGATTCCTCTGTAACAATGCCTTTGGCCATTTGTTTGGGGATGAATAGGTGCTGCCTGCATTTTGAAATGTGTGCAGATGCTTAAACAGACCCCAGGCTCCAGTCAGACAAAAATGCCACCAGATGGGACTTAAACGCCCGCCCTCCTTTTTAGCTGTTAAAATGTGAGAAATTCCTTCCACATCTAGTCCACTGCAGGGGACTATTTTTATTGGGCTCTTTCAACCCCAGCTCCGAGACACATCACAGATATTCCCACGGAAGCCCCACACGTCCACAGTGAGATGCAACCCCGTGCCAGACAGCCTTGCACAGCCAGGCAGGCAGAGAGGGCGGCAGGTCCCGTCACAGTGCTGTCCCAGCGATCTCTCTGAGCTGCAGGTAAGCTAAGTGGGGGCGGCGTGGACGACAGGGCAGAATTAGAATGTGATCAACGTGGCATCTGGTTTCTCTTCTCTATTCAGCTTTCGCAGAAACGAACATGAAAAGAAGGGAAGAAGCAAGGAGGAAAAATAAAGACAGACAGGGCCCCTTCTGGGAAAAACCAGTTCTAGTCCTGAATTCTCCACTGAATTTTCCACCTTAGAAAGCCCGCGGCTGCTTTAACTGAGTCCCCAGTGACAGACGCGCTGAGCCAGCTGAAGCCAGGCGGAGGGCGGGGAGGGGGGTGGGGGGATGGGGGGGTGGGCGGTCTCTGCCTCAGTCTTCCTGCTGTTTCCCTCCCCCATTCTAATCACAATAAATATATTTATACTCACTTGATTATGTCAGCCAGACAATGCTCCCCTAATTGGCAGTGATCAGGGCTCCAGAATTGCTTGGGTAAACCTGCTGTCTCTCTATCAGGCAGAGCAATAAGGGGCCGCTAATGCCGTCCCCATTAACAATTTCCAGTGGAATAAAAACCAGTCCCCTGACTCCTGCATGGCAATGAATTTTCCTAACAGCTCCTAAAGCCAACCCTTGAGGAACTCAGACTTACATGAACCTGCCCAGCATAGAAAGCTTGATAAATCTCCCCCACCCCCGGCTCGAGTGCACAGAAAAAAAACATAGCCACTTCCTTCTGCTTGAGGTTCTTTTGTTCTTTTGCATTTTTTCTTTTTTCTTTTAGAGGGCTTATGGAGCTAACTGTCATTTTTGGTTCTTGGGTCTTTGTAAATTACAGGGACATCTGGCACGCAGTTTACTGCATTTGCTAGCTCCGGTATGTGTGGTTATGTACGCAGTTCCTGCTGCGTGTGCGTGTTAACACCCTACATGCATAATTGATGCATGCATAATTTGGAGCTTGAGTGCATTGGTATATTTTGACATTTAAGTGTGACTATTGAGGTGCTGATTATAAGTAATTGCTCAATAAATATTTATTAAATGAATGAATACAACAAGAAGGCAAATGTCATTCATTCATTCAGCAGACATTTAAATGCAAGTATGTGCCACGCACTGGGCTAGATACGGGATGTTCAGTGATGCAGCCCCACAGTTCCTGCCCTCCAGGAGCTCACGGCTGAAGGGCAGGAGGGAAGCAGGCCCATCAACAGACAATTATAAGACATCATGGGGACACAGCGATAGAACTCTGTGTGTGTAGTGTGGAAGCTCCATGGAGGGAGACCTTCGCCTGCCTGGGGGAGGGGCTGAGGCCAGGGGGCATTTCCTGAAGGTAACGTGCCCTAAGCTGGGGCCTTAAAGTGTTCCAGACAAAGAGGACGGCACAGTCAGTGGCAGGCCACAAGAAACCACAGGGTGTGAGCAGTGAGCGAGAAGCCAGAAGGTACTGCAGGACAGCACAGAGGCAGGGAGTGGGCAGGAATGCAGTGCAGGCTCAGGGAGGGACTGGATTGGGGCGGGGGGTCTGGGGAGAGTTAAGGAAAAGAATTTCAACTACCTCAGTTAGGGGGCCAAAAATCTCTTCTGGAGTCTGCCAGAATTTGCGCACGCGCGCACACACACACACACACACACACACACACACACCCCAAAGCAGAATTTGGACCTGCTTTGGACGCGTTGCTGGAGTGCGGTAAGGAGATGCGGACACACCCTGGCTCTGCGATTGGTGAGCTGTGTGAACTGAGCACAGCCGGCTTCTGAACCGGCGAGCGGAGGAGCCAGACTTTGCAGGCTCTGAGGTCCCTCCCAGCTTTCGTACTGCCAGTTGCCTAGATTCTGAGGTCTGCATGTAGACCACACCTGGGCCCGTTCCATGTACAAACCGTGGGGCTCTGTGCAGCACACAATAACATCACGGTTTCACTGTCTTAGAGTGTGGAGACAGCTAGGCACACGGAGCACAGTTCTATAGGAGTCCCTAAGAAGGGTTCACGGAAATGTAATGTATGGCGGAGATATCCTATGGCCCCAGCCTGGGTCAGCGTCCCATTATCTCAATTCTGAAACTGCCAACCCCAATTAAATTCATAGCACAGATCTCTGCTTGATTTAGTTTCTGTAAAGCATGCTTAGCTCACATCCTTTCTGCTCAAAAACTCTCAGTGGTTCCAGTTGACTTACAGAATCAAGTCCAAAGTCCTTAGAGTGGCATTCAAGGCCACACCCAAGCTATTCCCTCCTTACCTGCCACAACCTCTGCGTCAGCCACATGAGACCCCTAGCAATGATACCCATGAATGCTTCCACCGCTGTGCCTTTTCTTACTCCAGACCCCCACCTCAGGTCCAACTCAAGTTCAAGTCCATCTCAGCTCTTTGGTCACCTTGTTCTTCTCTGAACCCTGTGTGATACCTACTGACCCTGTCATTCATTTGTGACTATTAATTGCCCTTTGTGGATTGTGTCTTACCTCTCCAGCTAATGTGGGTGCCCCGGAGGATAGGAACCACACCTCACCACTTTTGGTAATCTACGCACCTAGCACAGTGTCCTGCTCATGGGAAACATTTGATGCTAATACGTTTTCCACCTTGTAGCCTCTTTGAGACTATTGAGTAAAATCCATGGGAAGTATGATTATTATTATAATCATAGTGCTGTAGCCTGAAGGTTTTTTTTTCTCTCTCTTGAAAAAAAAAAACTTGGAGAGAGTGGTTTGGTGCAACCATTTTAGAGTAATGAGATTGTGAAACATTTCTCTCATGATTCATAAACAGTATTTCATATGCGTTACTTTGGAGCTTAAAGTTCATCCAGGAATGAGCTATTTCACAAATCAAAAGGAGCATATGTGCAACCCATCAGGAGGAATAATCACTCTGCTAAATTTAAAGGGGAAAACGACTGAACACTCCAGACTGAAATTAGAAATGGTTTAACGTCACCTGACTGGAGAGGAACATGAGTGACTGAATTCTGGTCCCGATGTTCAGTTTTTATTGTCCGTGTTCCATTGAGCAGCACATGGGATTTTGCACAAAAGAGGAACTGGCATTAAATCAATAAGGAAAATCAGCACTTCCTCACTGATCCAACAGCATTGAAGGAAGCTGAGCTTTGCCAACATGTACAACTGCGCAGAATTTGTAACCGGGCAGTTAAAACCGCCACGTAAGCTGGCAGCTGTGATTTTCCCAGAAGTAGAGCTTCAGGAAGAAAGATAGCTTTTAAACTCCAGTTTCATTTTTGCAAATTAGATCTGTTCATGTAAAACTGTTTTAAGCCCAAGTTTTTTCCTCTTTTCTTTTCTTTCCACATTAGTCAAGGACAGAATTGTTTCTTTTTACCCATGTGGAAATCCATTCGTTTTTACCAACAAATGTGTACTGAATACCTGTCATGAGTCAAACACCTTTTGAGGTGCTGGGGATGAAGAGGTGAAGAAAAGCAGCACAGCCCTCGACCTCACAGAGCTTGCTTTCAGCTGGGGAGACAGATCACAAGTAAGCAAACAAGTAGATCTATACTATGGCATGCATAGGTAACTGAGATAATGCGAACACTGTATTTGGAAAATTAATTTCCAGACAATTAAAAATTAAGAGCCCTACACAAACATTATCTTAGCTCATGTGTTCCCTATATTAAAGGGTATTCTAGAAAGAATAACCCACATACGGCTCCTTGCATGTGATGTTGATGTTCCCCACCAACTTGCAATGGGACATATGTCTCTGAGGGACATTTCAGGAGAAGGATTTGTGCCGACTTGTGCCTGCTCCACTGTGGCCCTAAATGGTGCCTATACGGCCATGGCCCCCACTGTGGTCTGCACAGGAACCTGGAATTCCTTCTGGACCTCTCCCTCTCTTTCTTCTTCTTTACCCAATTCTAGCAGCCCTTTCTCCTGGGTCTTTAAACCCCATATTTTAAATATACTTTAAATCAGCTCCCTTCTTTCCATCACCTTTCCCTCAGCGCAGGCTTTATAATTTCTCTCCATGACTGCTGCAACCCGCTTCTCCCCGACTCTAGGCTCAAATGCTCCAGTGTCCCCTCTTCACTGCTTCCAGAGTGACCTGTAAAACATGCCCTCCCCTGGCTCCCTGTGCCTGTAGGTGGAGCTCAGGCTTCTTGGTCTGGTCACTACCAGCCTGGCCCCAGCTGACCTGAGCAGCTTTGTATCTCTGCACCCTTCCTAGACCCTGGGCCCCACTCATACCTTCACCATGGAAGGTACCCTGGCCATACGACAAGCAAATTGCTTCTTCTTCCTGAATACTCTCTTTCTCCTTTCCTCTCAATTCTTGCCATTCTCTCATATGGTTCCAAAGTCACCTTCTCCATGTAGCCTTCCTGTTCCTGTTCCCACCAAGCAGAGCTGAACTCTCCCTCCCTTCTCCCCCAGGGTTATCCTGACACCTTCTAGCTTTAAGTACAGCACCTAATGGCAGCATTTTGCAATGGTGTGCTTATGTCTGTGTCTTCCCTCCTAAGCTGAAAGTTCCTCCAAGTAGGGAGTGTCTTATTTGTAATCTGATATGTACCACATAGTAGACCCTCAATAAATATTTGATGAATGGATGAATGACCTGTGGTCTCTTCTGGTTTGGCTTGTGCTGAATATGCATTTGAAAATTAGGTGACTATGGCAATGTATTGTAATCAACCAATACTATAAAGAACTTAACTTTGCTCTTATAAACAATAGATTTTAAACATTTGAGCTAATGGATGCAGATGATAACAAATTTCAGAACCAAATTTCCTAGATAATATTTCTGCACATACTATAAACCTGCAGATGGTTGAGAAGGTCAAATAAATGATTAAAGCATGTAAAACAGAATAATTAAGTAATCTGTATCCTTTACTGCAGAAAAGAAACTTGAAGAGACTTAATGAGGGTTTTTAATAAAAGATTGTACTCCAAGGATGACTAACCATCTTCCTTCTGCATGCACATAAGAGAAGAAATGAGACTGAGGTGCTAAAAGATTAAAGTTAAAAACAAAAAAGAGCTCGATGGTGTCCTAACTGGAACATGTGAGCCCATTTTGTTACTACAACAAGTAACTCACATATGTGGAGGGCTTACTCCGAACCAGGCACTGTTCCAAACGCTTTACCATTTATTTCATGGAAGCTCCATAACAAACCCAAGTGGGTTCATTTTAGTTAGATTACTTCCATTTTACAAGTGAGGAAAAGGAGGCACAGAGTGGTTAAGTAACTTAGCTGAGTGGCACAGCTGGAAAACAGTAGAACTCAAATTCCAGCCTGAGCTGCCTGGCCCCTGAGCCTTTGCCTTTACCGCACCTGTTTACTGCCTTGCCAGGGTGGCAGAAATCGGTGCCAGACCTCTATCTGAGGATGGAGGCCTGAAACTAAGCTCACAGGAGCTCAGTAAGTTCATGTGACTAGTTTAAATTTAACACAAAAATCCTTGAAAACATTTATTACCCTTCATTGCCAGGGCAACTAACTGTCTTGTAGACGTCACCACACCAAAGAGCATGTGTGCGCATGTGTGTAGAGGAGCACCCCCTTGTCTTTGTTCTGGTGAGCTGGCCTGCCCGCTCTCATCTTTCTAATGAATGAGGCAGTATGTTGTTTTGTTCTGTTTTAAGCAGTCTGCATACATGGTTTAAGCATCCACATATATTCACATATTAATAAGACGACATAAATTGAGTCAAATTTAGATGTTGTGTTTACTACCTTCAGAGAGATGGAATTTACTCTTGAGGCTAAAAACCCAGCATATTCTTCCCTGTTGTTTTTTCCAAGGCGACCTTGCTCAGCCTGCCTTGGGGACATAAGCAGTGGGATCACTGTCAGCAAGAAACAGGGACAGCTTGCTGAGCAACTCGAATGCCTGTGCAAAAGGAAGTCAGCGCTCACCCGATCCGCAGTGCAGATGATCAGCGCTGAGCTGCACTCCGGCTGCAGGAGGCCCGGAGGCTGGTCCGGGAGAACCAGGGCGGCCCAGCAGGAGCTCTGTGAAAAGGCTGTGAATGAGTCACTAGATTTTCAGGTTGACTGAGATGACTTCTGTTGATTTTCTTCGAATTTAGATGTGTTATCGGTGTTCACACATTGGGCATAACGGGAAAATGAGTGAACATTTTCTTGATAGTGCCGGCCTTCTGCAGGGTTGTGATAAGATTTGGGGTAAGATGTGACTCTCCACGAAGGCGCTGCTCAGTGTGCTGGTTTGCATCCCAGTGTCTGTCAGGGGCCTCACAGGGGTCTCAGCGTCTTAGCGTCCTGAGCTGGGAGTAAACCCAGTGTGATAGGCTCATGTGTCTTGTGACATTATACACAAGTTGGCTTGGGTTGGTACTTACTATTTTAGGGCATTAGGAGGCACTGCTAACTGATCACACTAATTGGTTCATGGTCTGGGAAAAGCACTTGTTTTCTAACATTGGGTCCCCCACAATAACCAGACAAATTCTTGGTGTCTTAGTTAAGTATTTGGGCTCTAGAAGCTCAGTTAACCCCTCTGGCCTCAGGTTTCCTCATCTTCAAGATAAGTAAAACAATGAAATCTACCCCCTTGGGTAGGGTTAAATAGATTCATACACATCAGGTGCTTGGAGCAGTGCCTGGCCTGTATAGTTAGCACTAAGTTTGGACTTATATTAATGCATACATTTTTGTTGATACAACTTCATGTTTGGCAGAGGACCGACTCCACTGCTGGCACAAAATAGGTGCCTGGTAAATATTTGTTAACTGTTGATGGAACTAGAAGAATGTGTTTAGTGGAATACACATATAGTAACCTGTTCTGATTTCTCAGTAACCAGACTGGCAAGACTGGATGTAGAAAAGTATCACCTATAGAAAAGTATTTGCAAATAAATGGAGTGCTCTACAACCAAACATCTCTGCAGAAAAGAAGGGAAGAGAGAAGCCAGCTTTGTGTGAAGATCGTGAAGGAAATGGCATGAGTTGGGGAGTATCACATGAAGTTGGGGAGTATCACCCGAAGTTGGGGAGTATCACCCGAAGTTAGGGAGTATCACACGAAGAACAGGCAGCAGGTTTGTGACTCTAAATCAAATACAGCATCTCATGTAATCAAAAACTTTAAAACTACAAAATATATGTTATTTTTGAGTCTACAAAAATAAATATGAAAAACAGGAGTCAAATCTCTGACCTGTCTTTACCTTCTATAGATTGTCTAATGACAGCTTCAACTGGAAATGAATTGTTTAATTTAAAAAACAGAAAGGAAACAAACAGTATAATGTTTTAGGAACTGGGATAGCATGACAAGAGTATCTTCACATTAGGTCAAATCATGAATTGCAACTTCCTTTGGTAAAAAACTGTCAGACACTGTCAATTTCATATGGTTCTGTCTGCTATATGTCAAGCTATTTTGATACTAAATCAAAACACATATTAACTTGCCTTTTATTGCCTTTAATTATGGCTATCAAGCAAAATTAGTCAATTTTATTTGTCTTCACCTCTTTTGCCTCTCAGAGTTTGTGCACGGTAGGTGATAAACCAATGTTTTGTTAACTGAGTAGAGTTTTCTATTATCTTCTCTTAAAAATAGGCCTACGTTCTGCTGCGCTACCTAATGCTGAGACTGCCCTTAAAATGTAACTAACGAAGTGTTAGCTTTGTTTTGTGTTTCATGATTTAGATAGAGCCTTTTGTTCCCTTGTTTGGGCAGCACTGGAAAGCTAATTAATACAGTACTGATATATTGTAGAGACAAACTAGACTCTGCTTGCGCACACGGCCATGACAAGAATAAATTTAGGTCAGAAATATTTGTGCAATTAGTGAACAATGTTATAATAATGAGAAATTATTGTTTATATGATGCATCTCTGAACACTGAAACACATTCTAGATTTATAAATGAGGTGAATGACAGAATTAGGCAAGTGTTCTCCCAAAAGTTTCGATCACTTAGGGTCCAGCCAGGGCATCCTGGAATGAACCAGAATGGCAAGCTCTGGGATCCCAGGATGAGGAGCTTCATTAGTATTCATTTAAGGCTTAATAACCGTTGGGATTGGTCCCAGGCTTAGGCACGCACACGGAAATAGCTGAGCAGGCAGCGTGAAATGGTCTTTGGTCCAGAAAATAAAGAGCTCCTTCCGCGGTGGAAGAGCTGGGCGGTGTTCAAGGAGCAGCGTAAATAACTGGGGAGCGGGTGCACCTCCCTGGGCCCCAGTTTTCCCACATTTGTTAACTGTCTCCTAGAGAATATTCATTCTCTGTAACATCTGCTGTTGAAAGGATAAATATTTTGTCTTAAAATTCTTTGCATGTCTTGAGGGGAAAAGCTTGAGCTCTAAAAGGAATTATTCTGGTTTTGGTTGACCCTGTGACAGCAGCCCCATCGCAGAGGCAGACCGCTAAGAAAACAAAGTTGCTTTCATTTTTCAGACAGAAGAGCCTCGACACTCTCTCGGTTTGGATTCTTACACAAATCAATACAGGGGCAAGAGAGGGCTCACGAAAGTGTTAACTTTTCCTCCAGTGCCATGGATTTTTTTTTTAGGAGGTTCTTTGTTAAGTGCAGAGTATGCTCAATTCTGCTCGATCTGTGCTGTCTAATGAGATCCCAGCCCCAGGTGATGTGCTCCCACAATAGTGTCTTCGCGCTAATTACATTTTAGAATGGGTAGAGCAAGAATAGTTCCAAACATATTTGAGGTAATAACTAGTCATATATCCAGAAGGTCAACAGTTCAATCGGAGAGAGAGAAAAATTAGCATATCTTAAGAAAGAGTTCAGTGGTTTTATACAAGAGCTCTCATTTCAGTCTACAAGAACACTTAAAACACTGATAGAGCCAGGTAATTCTATATTTCCCTTTTTAACTCACTGAGAGCTCCCAATTTCAGGGTGTAATATCTGAGGACAAGAAGCCTCTGCCAGGGGGAGGGGAGGGAGGGCGGCGGTGTCATCGGGGAAGCTGGCCAAGTGTGAGGCTAGGGGTCTGCGCCAGGACTCAGGGCTCCGAGCGAGAGAGGGGAAGGCCCGGGCTGCTGCCGGGAGAACTGGGCGACGCTCGAGAGTCTGGCGTCGGATGAGGGCTGTGGGCCAATCTTCCATTATAGTGACAACACAGATGACAACGAAACCCTCAAATAATTGGGTATCAAATCACTGTAAACAAAGATACAATCTGCTCGCATCAGTACAGTTTCCATAACAGTGACTAATTGTTTCCCCAAATTCCCATTTTTTTCTATGATTTCTAATGAACATAAAAGAGCAGTCATGGGAAACTATACCCATTGGGTTCTGTTTTAAATGACTGAAGTTGTATTTTGTTCAGAAGTGCAGAGCACTTTGATTTATTCTAAAAATATTTACTGAGCATTTATTATGTACTTGGCAATAGTTATATGGTTGGTTTGTTCAGACATGATTCCTAAAAAATACTTTCTGCTCTGCTAAAGTATTAAAATACTAAATCAGTTCATGGATTTTTAAAAATATGAGAAAAAGTGGCACTTCTCATCCTCCAAAAGCCCCACGCCCTGCACAAAGAATTCCTTTCAATAAAGGTGCAGTGCAACCTGTCGTTGTGTGAAACACAGCCTAAGAACTACCAGTTTCAAGGGGACCGTGTTCAGTATAGATAAGTACAGGTAAGCTGGGGAGCAAAGAATGACTTCTGTAATTTAAACTACAGAGGGACTTTTAGGCTTGAAAATCAAATTAGAAAGTTATTCAACTCACTAACATTTAAATAGGATGCAGTCTTTTTAAGATCATTTTTAAATAGAAATGTACAGAAAAGCACAGAGAAGAAATAGAAGCTTCCATGTACCCATAGGGTTTTTATGGGTCTATTTAATTGACCCTGTTCCATTTCAGCGGGGTGTTTCTTCCCAGACGCTGCTCACCCAAAGACATTTCCATATCTGAGACCAGCCTCTGGGAAGAAAACCTTTCCGTGGGCATTTTTGGCCCATGGAGTTTTCTCCTTTATCCTCTGGCCACTCTACTCTGAGCTGCTGTTATTCACGGAGGGTGGGAGGGCCAGGAAGACGCCCTTCAGCAGGTCACAGTCAATTCAGGGAGATCAATACCCACATAAATAATTCTGCCATAAGGCTGCCATGAATGCTGGAGAGAAAAAGATTAATTCTGTCTGGGGGAAGAGCTCGGGAGAAGGGGTAGGTTTGGGGTTTGCCCTCGAAGGTAGGCTGGGATTTTGGAAGGTGACTGTGCGGGGCATGGGGGAGCTCGGGCCAGAATGAAGGCCTTGTTCCAGGACGGTGAGCAGACGTGGTCCGTGGCCCAGAGTGCACGCGCTCAGGGCAGTGCATGCACTCGGCTGTGAGAAATGTCGGAGGCCTCCAGCTTGCGGATGGGGCGGTCAATGCCCCAGATTTTCTGATTTTCTTTTTCAACTGTGCTATCGAGTCTTACTACATTTTAATAACTATGTCACCCAGCTGCTTTTCAATCCTAAAACCATAAGATGTAGAGATAATTTACATTTGGAGAGCACGTTACACTTCACTAATGGCTTTTTTAATACACATGATCACATTTGATTCATTTAACAGCCCCGTGACACCCCAGGCGCATCTCCACAAGCTACTTCCTTGGAAAGTAACTACTAGTTATAGAAACTACCAGCTATAGAAATCAGACAAATTGCTACCAGCAGCCTTCTTGTGTAAGTGCAAGCCAGGACAAAGCAGCAATTCGAGGGAAATGAAAGGAAGGGTCCCAGGGCAGAGACTGAGAATCCTGGGACGCTGATGAGGGGTGTCTGTGGAAATGGCGAGTGATGCAGGGGAGACGGTGTGCCGCAGAGGGCGGAGGGTGGAGTGAGGGGGGTGGGGGTGGCGGTCCACTACTGGGCGGCTCTTAGCACAGTGCTGAGCACACAGCAAGCCCGTTCAACCGCAAGTGGGGTTGGGTGTATGTCTTTAGCAGAGCCGTGTAGAGCAATTCAAAAATCTAAAATGGTGGCTTTTAGAACACGAGTATGGGGTAAAATGAAAATGTATATATAAAATTTTAATAACACCGAGGAGCGGAAAGAGTGGTTGCAGCACGAGGAAGGGGAGGGATGCTCATCTCACTCTGCCCATCTGCGCTCCCTCTCATTCTGCAACATCTCCGATCTATTGTGCCTTTGCTAAGCCCTTTCCAGTGCACATACTGAAGTGGCGCACTTTTGCAACTACTTTACAGGAGCTAAAACAACCAGCCCACCGTGATGGCTGCAATCTAGTCAGCATAAATCTTACTGACGTTGGGCACATCATCATATCCACTCAGCCTGCTGCAGATCAGTTTACGGTTCTTTTCCACTTAGAGACATGATGTGAAATGGAATTAATCCAGTTGCAGCAAAGTGAGTGAACTGTTGAACAAATCCCTGTCTGTGGAAAAGAACTTGGTTTTGCAGCTTGTTTGAAAAAAAAAAAAAAAGTCCACATGACACTGCAATGTCTTCTCTGGAACTGAGCAAATGCATTTATTTCCGTTTTATTTACAGCTACGTTCAATCGGAGCTATTTTTATATGATAGTGTACTCTACTGTTCTTAGCTGAGGGCCACAGCAAAAGCATCTGCAGGATGTTTTCTTCACTGTAACATTTCAACCAAAATGTTACAGTGGAACTTAGCCTAAGGACTATTGCTCCAGCTGGACTACGGACTTGGCAAAGACCGACAGCTTGGAGAGAGAAGAGAGACTAATAAAAACCAACCAGATCACATATATCCTTTTACATTTTCCCTCCTTTGCTCTCTGTGGTCAAAGGACAGTCTACACGCAACATATACTTAATAAATACATTTTGGTCATGACTATCACCAGCAGACAAACCTTGGAGAGGGCGTGGAGAATAGCGAAGGGATATGAGGTTGAGCAGAGACTCAAGGTGACGTGCTGATGGAACTGAGGTTCTCAAGCCCGGAGAAGGGAAGGCGGGGCCTGGCAGGTGTGGAGGTAGTTTGGGCTATTTACCTTTACGGAGCATTAGCATGAGCCCTGTGTGCAAGGTAAGATTAAAGAAAGTCGACTTACCTCTCAGCAGGGGATTTAGGGTTAGGAATGTGGAAGAAGTTTTGGTTTAGATTGGATTAGGCATCAACACAGGTCCTTAAGCAATCTTTCTCGGGAAATTTTACATTTGAAG